TGCTGAGCTATGGCAGAGCAACTAGAGAACAAAAACCCAACTTGCCTCAGAACAGAAAAACAATTGACCTGAATTTTTAACGGGTGTTTTTATTCACAATTAGGTATTTATGGCAGCCTGGAAGATAGAAATAGTAATATTTTCCAGCTTTTGAGGAGCTTCAGATAAGGCAGTCTTTGTATAATGTGTTTTTAAAGCCATTCTGCACTGAGCAAGTCTCATGCTTTCGTACCCTTCATGAGTTCCTCTCTGCAGCGAGAAATGCCAGCTGGAGACTCAAAGGACGGGCTTTCAGCGTGCCTGATTCCTGGAGGATGTGGAAGAGAGATTGTTCTTCTCTTCCACTCCTGAGCACTCAAATCCTGGCCTCAAAATCTGCTGATCTTTCAACAGCTAGTGGAGGCCAGATGTAGGGAGATGTGTGGGAGCTTAGTGCCTTTGCGTTCTCTCCAAACATGAGGGCTTCGGTTGCCTCCTGAAAGCTTTCCCAAGTGAAAGGATTTGGCTGTTGTTTGGGGAATGGGTGAGCGTTAACTCGCTGTGCAATTTCCTGTCACTTGTGAGATGGTGAATAAGCTGAGGAAAGTAGGTGGCCCCACTTTTTCATATATCGTAGTGAAACTGAAATCTTGAGGATATAAAAGCGTGGAAAGTTTGCAGCTGGACTGTGAGTTAAAAGAAATATCTCACCACCCAGTGGTTTAGCCTAGAGGAAGAGGTTTGGACCTGCGTCTGTTGCTAGGGTGTTACACGGCTTTTCCACTGGTGCCTTTTTTAGCCTCTGTAAGACTTTTCTGCAAGGATTTGAGGTGCAGAACCTCGCCACAATGAAAAAGAGATTGTCCATCTTTACTTTCATTGATGAAACCAATGCTTTGCTCACTGTGAGTGGGACAGGTGAGTGACAGAGTGCATTTGGTTATAACCACCAGAAATGCTGATGAAGCCTGGGTGAGGGAGCAAATGGAAAGCTGGAGCTGTAGCACTGGATTTGAAAAGATCTCTTTTCTGTCTTCAGACCAAGTCCGAAACAGCTACTACATCGGTGCTGATGGCTCTCTCAGACTGATGCTGGCTAATGGCATGGAGGTGGCCCTGCAAACCGAGCCACATCTTCTGGCTGGCACCGTCAACCCCACAGTGGGGAAGAGGAATGTCACCCTCCCCATCGACAACGGCCTCAATCTCGTGGAGTGGAGGCAGAGGAAGGAGCAAGCGAGAGGGCAGGTCACCGTCTTTGGACGTCGGCTGAGGGTAAGTGAGAAGCGTGAGCAGTTTTGGACTCCACTTCCCACCTCATCAGTCCCCATGACAGAAAGAGACAGTGCTGATTTGTATTGTCTGCAATAGGGATGAGGCTGCAGGACAGAGGACTAGCTGTTCTTCCTCATTGACACAACCTTTACAACTTGAACATATCCTTGTGTTTCCTCATGTGCTGACGTTCTCTTAGCCATCACAAGTAGTACTGCTGATTTGCCTTTGCATGTCTGGGAATGCATGGCCTCCCATCAGACACTGCAGGTTGAACCATCACGTCAGGCTGTTTAAGCAAGCAAGGGATGATCATAACTATAAAGTGCTGCACCAATTAGTGTAGGTATTTTCTGCCTGTGCTGCTGGCAGTAATAGACCTGAGCACCGAAAGCTTTCTAAGCATACGAGGACAGGCTGAGAGAGTTGGGATTGTTCAGCCTGGAGAAGAGAAGGCTCCGGGCAGACCTTAGAGCAGCCTTCCAGTACCTAAAGGGGCCTATCGGAAAAACGGGAAGGAACTCTTTATCAGAGAGTGTAGCGATAGGACAAGGGATAACAGTTTTAAACTGAAAGAGGGTAGATATAGATTAGCTATTAGGAAGAAATTCTTCATGGTGAGGGTGGTGAGGTGCTGGCAGAGGTTGCCCAGAGAAGCTGCGGATGCCCCATCCCTGGAAGTGTT